AGTGAAGCTAAAGCTAACATTTGTTTTTAGGGAAGCTAGTAGAGAAAAAAAAACTGGTATTTTTAGTTTCACCTAGAGAAATGTGTGTGTCAAAGGAGCTGGAAAAATAGTTTTTCCAGGGAGAAGCTATTTTTTATCCGAATCCGTTTAGTAGGAGAAGTTGAAAACAAGTTTGTAGAGCCGGCGAAGAAGTTGTAGCAAACACGCATGTCCCCGTATGCATCCACTCCACAGATTACACATACGCTTCAATCTCTGGACACGTGCCTCAAGTCTCACCTCACAGTCACAGGACAGACACGCCCCAAAGGCCCAGAACAGCGTTCCAACTGATCCAGCCCGGCAGGCACGCGCGCCCCACGTGAGGCGCGAGATCCATGCGACGGTTCGTGTCACACCACGCCAAAGCCCGCACCGCGGACGGGCCTCACCCGGACCCACACCGCAGAGACTGAAGCTGGCACGCATAAACTGTGGGGAGCTCGTTCTCTCCGCCGGCCCACTCACCACCCTCCCTCGTCTCCACTTTCCAGAGAACAGGGGAAGGCGCCGGCGATAGGCGGGAGCAGCGCGCTACCCATTCACCCCCTCTGATTTCTTGGGAATCGCGCATAGGTCCCCGTCCCCGGGGCGGTGTGGATCGCCGGAGATGCTGCCCTACGCGACGGCGGCGGAGGCGGAGGCGGCGCTGGGCCGGGCCATGACGCCCGCCGAGGCGCTGTGGTTCCGCTACACCGCGGGGGTGTCCGACTACCACCTCTACTGCTGCAACATCCTCTTCCTCTTCGTCGTCTTCACGGTGGCCCCGCTCCCCGTCGCGCTCCTCGAGCTCCGGGCCCCGGCCGCGGTCTCGCCGTACAAGCTGCAGCCGCGGGTGCGCCTCTCCAGGGCCGAGTTCGTCCGCTGCTACAAGGACGTCCTCCGCATCTTCTTCCTCGTCATCGGCCCGCTCCAGCTCGTCTCCTTCCCGATGGTCAAGGTCGGTCGGTTCCCTTACATCCTTCTGTGCTCTCTCGGTCGGTGATTCCGCGCAATGCGCCTGGTTAGTTCATGAGATTACGGCCTCTTGGGGCCGGATTCAGTACAAGAGATCGCGTTTACATACTGTTCTTGTGCCCCCTTGATCGATCTCTTCTTAGATACAAGAAAGAATTCCAATTACATTCTGCATGTTTTCCTCCCCTTTGGGTGAGGACTTCCTGATCTGGGTTCTGCTCCAAGAACCCTTCTTAGATGCGTCCTATCTAGAAGATTCCCCTGAGTTCGCCTACTCTTGTAAAGCACAAGAAATTTCCTTCCCTGCATTTCTTTCATCATGCTAAAATTGTATTCTCATATACAAAATAATGATTTTTCTTTGAATCAAATCAGTTGGTGGGAATTCACACGAAGTTGCCTTTGCCGTCCCTGGGGGAGATGGCAGCACAGCTGCTGGTGTACTTCCTTGTTGAGGACTACCTCAATTACTGGATCCACAGGCTTCTCCACGGGGAGTGGGGGTACCAAAAGATCCACCGCGTCCACCATGAGTTCACCGCGCCAATCGGATTCGCAGCTCCATATGCACACTGGGCTGAGGTGCTGATACTAGGCATCCCCTCCTTCGTCGGGCCAGCCATTGCTCCGGGCCACATGATCACATTCTGGCTCTGGATTATACTCCGTCAGGTGGAGGCTATCGAGACGCATAGTGGGTAAGGACTTTCTGTTGTATGTTTCCCATCTATGGAACACTCTACGTACAATAATTGAATTGATTTAACATGCTTTTGTAATTATTATTAATTATTGTGCAACATTGTATTGCTTCCACATGGGTTAGTCTTTGTTGCTAGTGATGGATGTAGTTTGTGGGTGGAGTTCCTGGGTTACTGTGGTGTGCACAGCATTGACAATGACCTGAGTGAATGGAGTTTCTCGCCAGGAGTTTTTCATTGATTGGAAGCTGAATTGAACTGATGTTGATATGTGCATAACTGATAGAATTGCCTGAGAGTTCTTAGCCAGCTGTTTATAGTTGAAGGTTTTTTAGTCGATATTTCTTTGGGGTATTCCCTGGTAATGAAGAAAATGTACAGCATGGATTAGCATTGGCTGCTGCTCTATGGTAATAGGAACAAAAATACACTTAACAATTTTGAAGCTGTAGTTGAAATTTCCTAAATTACAATGTTGTTGCACATTCTTGACTATGGTGGCTAACCTACAAGCTGTTCGGCTGATGGTTTCTGCGGCTGATAAGCCGGATGATGTTGTTTTATTGTGAGAGAAAAACACTGTATCATGGTTGATAAGCCGGGCTAATAGAGTATCTAGAACTTTTCTGCCAAGAAAAATAATCACCTAAGCTTAGGCATAGTTAGGCAAGAAACCTGAGTAGACGTGGGTGAGGATGCTAAGAAGTTAGCCAGCCTAAATTGTGGAGGAATAAAACACTGCCTACTAACTGTGGATGCCTAAGGTTAGGCATGGCAGATTTGAATTAAACTTTTGTTACCTGCAGTTTTGCTCTACTAACAAAATGGATACAGCCTATCAATCCGTAAAGGAATGTTTGAAATGATTCTACTACAAAGCTTTGCAAAATCTAAATAACAACGTTTATGCTCGCTATGAAGTATGAATGGAATTAACTCCTGCTGGAAGAGAAGTGTAATATGCTTACTTGCTGCTTGAAAAATTCAGGATTTACTGATTCAATACTTTGCTGCACTTGCACTTGTATTACTCACTATCTAAGTGGGTCATGTTGGAGCAATTATCCTTCTTGATTTATATCTTAGTGGATAGGAAGCTATTTTTGTTTTCTTGGATGTTTCTACTCACAGTCAGTATTGTCTCAAGTCTCAACTTATGCCATTAGCTGGAGTACTATGACCTTTCAAATTTCAACACACAGTATTTATGTTTTTCTTTTTGATAAAAAGGGCACACTAGTTACTCTTCATAGTGTCATGTTGTATTGGTACATTTCTTGTCACTACTTTTAGGTGGAGATGATAAAAAATCCTAGTTCACTATATATGATTGAAGTTAACTACCATGCCACCAGAATGAACTGTTGTCCCGTTGGCTTGTGATATGATAGGACTGAGATCTACCGATACCATACATATCACATTGGTCATTTTTGTTTGCCTAACCTTTCTATACGACTGAAGTTAACTATCATGTCACGGTGTCACCAGAATTACTTGTTGGGGGACTGAAATTCTACTGATATCATGCATATCACATTGGTTCTTTTTGTTTGCCCAACCTTTTGATACAATCCAGTTATGCTTTGTTTAATATTATACATTTCACCATCCCAGCTAGGACTTACCTTTGTCCTGTTCTGTGCTAGGTACTGCTTGTTATATTTCGCTGTGATCAATGAAACTGTCCATGATAGCTACTTTGTTTTTGTGCAGCTTCTATAAGGGGAAAAACATAACTTGGTTTGTCATTTTGCAGCTTTGATTTCCCATTCACCCCGACAAAGTATATTCCATTCTATGGAGGAGCAGAATACCATGACTATCATCATTATGTAGGAGGCCAGAGCCAAAGCAATTTTGCTTCTGTTTTCACTTACTGTGATTACTTATATGGGACTGATAGAGTAAGTTTCTCCTTTACACACAGTTTGAAAGGTGATACTAAGAAGTGATGGAAGTATCAGTTCTAATCAGTTCTAATCTTGAGCTCTTTGTTCTTTCAGGGTTACAGATTCCACAAAGCATACCTAGCGAAGGTATTTTTCTACTGTTGACTGTGTTTTCAAACATTTTTCCACTCTAGTTTAGAAATAACAAGGAGTTCCCAGATGTTCCCAATATTAGTTATTGAGTTGATGAAGTAGCTGATTTTTTTTATTGTCCTCCCCTCGATGTAGCTGAAGGATCTGGGGCAAATCGATGGTGAGAAAGGAGATGGCAGTGGACTCAGCTATGTGAAATTGGATTAGATTGCAAGATACAGTGCATCTCGAGTGTTTCTATGACCATCCACTTCACTGTGGCATTTCGAAATGGGAGATATACTGAGTTGGGCTGGTCGCGTGTGTTCTGATTTCGCTTTCAGTTGTTCTGCCTTCTTTTTCCCAGTGTTTGTGAAATTCTATGGAACTTGTATGCTGACGAATAACAACGCAACTCCCAGAGTATCCGTTCATCGAGTTTGCTCCATGCTTTGATTAAATTAGATCAATTGCTGTATAGTTTTTAAGTGTACCATTCTATTGTTTTTAAGTTTTTAACTAGGTACTCAAACACAACCTTTACCGTACCACGACAAGTCAAAAAAATTACATTACAAGGTAAAGAAACTTTCATTCAACTTTTCGGAAACAAGAAATTTACAATTACCCGGGTGCACCGGGATATGTTTTACAACTCTGCCATTATTGGCCAGATTGTTGTTTAGGTCACTCTCATGTTGGCCTGAATGTTGTTTAGGCAACTCTCCAATTGTTGTTTAGGCAACAGTGCGACACAGACAGACTCCCTTGCTTGGCAAGAATTTGCCTTATGGTTTAGGCAACACGTAATTTTGTCATTGTTGTTTGACAAAAAACTATACATTATCTCTTATATATTGCTCTTTTAATTATACTAGTTGTTTAAAAAAATTGTTGCATAATAATTCAAGCACCTAAAATATAGCAACTCCCATAATTTGCACAGGGAGCTCCAGCACATCGAAAGGAAAAGTCACAAGAATCTTTTTTTAACCCGGGCGCAACCAGCAGCGCATGTAGTGATGTTCCAGTTCGAATAATATTAAAAACTCACAGCATGAATTTGAGTTCATAAGGACAAGTATCCCCGTCTTCAAACATCATCATCGACAGAGCATCGGAGTCAAGTAGCAAATCCAGGATTACAAATAGTGCTGACGAGTTATGAATCTGAAATATCTAGAATCCATTACGGTTTAGAAATAAAGCAGACAAAAGTAAGTGTTCTTGACACACTGGGCTGAAAATAAGAGTCATCTGAACAGCCCTTAGACGTCCTTCAGAAACGGCGAGGGGGGAACCGGTCCATGAGATTCACAGAGGGACACTCATAAGCCATGTGGCCACGGCCACCACAATTGTGACAGATCATGAAGGCACCAGCCATGCAGTCACGACTCATATGGCCAATCTGGTTGCAGGCCCGGCAGATCACGTCACTGAAGCCACCGCGGAAGGGAACGCCAACACCACAGAAGGGAGCGCCAACACCGCGGAAGGGAGGAGGCCCACCCCTCTCACCCAATGTATCAGACTTGGGACACTGACGGGCCAGATGGCCAGCAACATTGCACAGGTTGCAAACAGGATCATTGGTGCAGTTACGGGCAATATGGCCACTCTGCCGGCAATTGTTGCAGGCCTTCTCATTGGTGCATTCCTCACGAAAATGCCCTGGTTTGTAGCAGTTGCTGCAAAGGATCACTTCTCCTGGCGGCACTGGTGGAGCAGTGCAGTCTTTTGCAATATGGCCGGACTTGCCACAGTTACGGCATATCCCTTCATTTGGGCAGCTGTTAGCCATGTGGCCAGGCTCTTTGCAGTTCCAGCAAATACCTTTGGAAGAACATTCAGCTGCAATGTGCCTGCAACATTAAAACGAATTTAAGTATGAAAAAAGCGATATCAGCTCAAGAGATACATAGCCATAGTGCAGCTTTCCAAATCACATATTCACATGGAACTACGACGCCTTACAGTTAAGCTTCAAGGCCTTTGTAATTATTAACCAACTAAAATATCATAAAAATAAAATCAAATCCTTAATCAGGCCCCATGCAATAAGAGGCTAAAACAATAAAGTGTTGCTTGCATATATGGATTAAACTTCACTATACAAATGGTGCTAGAAGTGACATTCAGGATGACATGAACATCAAAACAATAACATAAGCCAGAACATGGAGTTTATGCTCCTAGGGAGACATGAACCCCATGTCCACACTACTGAGGATGCATAAAATGCCCAATAATGGTTAAACATAGCTCCACCGCAAATCATGAAAGAATTCAAAAGAGCAGGGTAATTCTACGTAAGGTATCGCTAGAATGGTTGTGCCACAATGATTAAAAGTATGGTGGGCATTGCAAGCAAAGTGCACTTGAATGAATGATTAAAATATTAAAACTAATAACATATAAGAGCATGAATCTGTGCAAGCAGAATAACACAAAGTTATTACCCAGGAAGCCCGCAGGTATGGCAGACAGCCACGCTAGGACACTCTCTAGCAAAATGCCCAGGACGCTTACAATTGTTGCACAAATCATTACGAAACCTGCACAATGGAAAGGGAAATAACTAAAGGATACATAACCTTCCAAATGTCTGAATAATAATATATTAAAGTTCCATTCACATAAATTGTTTAGTAATTTCACCATTCTTGTCATGACCCATGTCTAGTTACAATCCCACACAAAGGCTTTCTCCTAAAACCATGCCACAACATGAATTCATCCAAAAAATTTCAATCCCAAATCACTTTACCATACTATATTACATTGTTTTACTAGACTTTCAGATAGATTAGTGCTATCATTAACCAATATCAAGTGCCCTTATTTATGCTACATACATGCACAAGTGATTACATTGGGATACACATAAGAAAAAGTTACATCTAAACCAAATAAACAATTATGGTTATTCTACCACCCACGAACTTAAACCTTTTGCACGACCCCATTCACAAAGCATTTAGCCAAATATATACATGATAACGAGAGGAAGCAGTGATGTTTGGAAGAACAATGCCAAACACTCGTCCTGTTTGACTTAGATTAGCTCAAACCTGCTTGGACCATGGCGGCTGTCCCTCCGATATGGTGCGTCACGGTATGAGGTGCGTTCGGTACGCATCCTGCGATCCTTCAGCGGCGGGCTGCGGCTGCTCATCACCAAATCTTCCCTCTAAACTCCAAGTTCCAACCAAACTGCAACACCACGCTACAAAATCACCACCTTCGATACTCCAACAAACACCACAAACCTCTAATCTTCTTTCTGTCCACAGCAAAACACCAAAACCAGACTAAAATTGAATCCTATGTGGCTATGTCCCACCCACTAACCTTCACTATGAGCATGCTCAAGTTCCCATGGCAAGTCACAAGGGTGGACCCTGTAGGCCTTGTTTGGAAGCCTATGGAACGACATGGTTCGGGGGCAGATCCACATCATGCGGGGAGGAAAACCCATGCCGGGGAGGAAACTGTGTCTTGGGCTAAAAGAGCACTTGGCAACGTCGTGGGTTGGATTTGTTCTAGTCCAATCCACTCTTCCCTTCCACCTCTTCCCTCTCCCTCTCCTCCCTCTGTGCTAGGGTTTTACATGGTGAATCGCTTGCTCCTGTCATAGATCCATGGAGAATGCACAAGGCTGCACTGGGATGCCATGTCTCATATGCTTCCAGCTTCCAACCTGAACGAGCATGATGTTTGGGACACCTCCAGCCAGGAGAGGCAAAAACCAGCCTTGTCCTAGTGCCTCTTTACAAGTACTATTTTCATTGGGGATAGATTACTAGATTTTTTTGGGTCAATTTTGTACAGTTCCCATCATCGTGATAAAATTGGTTCTCTGGTAGTATTAAAAACCTTTTTTTTCCAAACCATAAAAATGTTTTGCCGTTTCAGCAATAGAACTTTCAGAAGAAAGAGAAACCAATGTCAGTGGATTAAAATGGCTCAGTTTTTGGTCTTCCAAGCTTCTAATACAGTAGTACTGATAAATATGAAGTGTAGTACTGATTAATATTAAGCGATTGGATTGACAAATATAATCATATATCATATAATACTAAAATTTTTAATATTCCTCTATGTACATCTATGATAAGGTGGCTAGTGTCACAACCCGAGGTGCGTATATTTTATTTGTGCTTGCAATTTGAAAACGAGACAGGCCTAGGAGGTACTTGGTTGTGTGCCAAAATTCACATGGTATAGTTCATTCTAAAATGTAAAATATATGGTTCAGTGATTGCAGTTTGTAATCAATTTTGGCTAGTGATTTTCTTAATTACCACTGCAATTCTTGAAAGTATATGGCAGTATTTCAAGCCTACAATATGCTGGGATCCGAATCTAGTTTAGCACTTACTCAGTTTTGCTTGCAAATTAGTAGCTTAAATTAATTTTATGTTTCCACTGAAAGCGCTAACTCATAGATTTGAATTTTCAAAGTATATTAATACTACCTCCACCCTGCAAAGAATGACGTTTTGGTTTTATCTTAAGTGAAATGTCTTATGCTTGACCAAGTTTATTAGAAGATTATCAACATTTATGACAAAACCAGAACAGAGGTACTAGCTTCAATTGTTTTCACTTGTCTCTGGCCATACTTAACTGCAGAATATAGTATTATATCAGTATCACTGGTATGCACTATATTATTTTATCTGGTTGTTACTGGCTTACTGCTACTCTAATTTGTTCTCCGTTAACCTATCTGAGTGACTGAGAAGATCTTGCTCTGCTAATTTGTGAAAGCCATTACTCTATTTATGCAGTTTTTTCGAGTACATACTTTCATGCTGTGCTAGTATACTATTTTCTAAATGTATGGTGATCAGATTATTCTGAGGTTTTTCTCTTTGATATTCAGTCCATTTTATTTGGATTAAATATCCTAGTGGCTAGTGCTAAATTGATACTTTCAGAGTTTTAGTAATTTAGTAATTCTCAATTTTAGCTGAAATTTTCTGTGGACAGTATGCTGGAAGAACTTAACACAGCTATTTATGCATATATGTTCAGTGGTCAAGCAAAACCTTGTTTTTCAATTTTCCGAGTACAAGCAAAAAACATGTTTTTGTCCAGCATTCTTTTGTTATGTACTGATATAGCACCAATTTATTTTTCTTTTAGAGGAGCACTGATTTAATTTTGCTTAGGCCCCAAAATGTTCTTGAAATCCTTTATTGTTAGTATCTCAATAGTAGCGTCTCTTTGCAAAATGCAAATCATGAAGTTTTCAGTCATCATTATTTTTACTCAAACAAATGCTTTATTTATCTTTGTTTTTCCAGTTCAGAGTTCCTTAGCCACTGTGACCACTTTTTATTGATTCATCTGTGCTCTCAGTTTCTCAGAGAGCAAACACTGCCACTTCATAGCCCACCTCTCAGCTTCACAATGTCAGTCTTAGACTCTTAGTTGACTGATTATTTGAGTTGCTGTGTTGCCTATTTCTACTTGTATAATTATTCTTCTAAGAGAGTAAGTTTGGTATATTGACCAAGTTGCTGAGTGTTGGGCCTAACTAGACACAATGACTAGTGTATTACTGAGATACATGCAATGATGCAAATACTGAGATACATGCAATGATGCAAATCCATATCAATCGAAGCCTATCCCAAATTGGCAATCAAACAAAATGGATTAGGTCCTACCAGGCAAGGAGGCGATTGAGTGATGGGAGAGGGATCACCCAATCCCCCTCTGGATTGATTCTCCTGTGGATTCTATTGTACCCCTAACTTTGCAAACGAAGCCTAAAGGGACATCGTACACATGATATTTTTTTGCAAAAAGTTCGAAGTTAGCAGGCATCGAATACACAAATAGATTTAAGTTAGGGTTTGGGTGCTCCGTTTCACACAGCAGCAGGAAGGGAAGAGAAGGGTTGGAATACCTGGTGGGTGCTCGTCGCCGGCGAAGAGACTAACGAAGACGAAGGCCTCGGGACCTGGCGTAGGGCGTCGACGTCGGCGGCGGCGGCGGTAGCCCACCCAGTCGTCGCAGCGAGCGAGCGAGAGCACGAGGGGGGACGGGGTGAACGGATGCGGGACGGGCATGCGGCGGACGGCGGTAGCGCAGTCCGGAGGGTTCGGGCTCGGCCCAGGGGGAGCGCACCCGCAGGGGCCTTGTCCTGGGCCGATTTTCTCGGGGTTTTTTTTTTTTGGGGAAACTTCTCTTTTCTTATTTCTTATCTCTTTTTAATGTTTTCCCATTTTTGGCATGATCTACTTTTTAATTTTCTATTCTTCTTGATTTTGTGTTTATTATCTTCGTAGGGCACTGCCAAATGTGCCAATGTCTAGTGATACATTGGTTTAAATAAAATAAACAAAAATGATATTTACTAGTGCATTGTAAATAAGCAAATGGAACATTTTTTTTATATTTATTAAGTATCAAATCTAGAAAACCTTTTCAATTGAAGAAGATATAGCAATTTTATGATATATAACACTTTTCTCCATAATTAGAAATAATTCTTTTCTCGATAATTTCAAGTGAGCCCTTGTTTAGTTGTAGAAATATTTTTTTGGCAAATAGTGTTCAAACATGGACTAATTAGGCTCAAAATATGGAACGTCTACATTTAATGGTTTCCATGAAACAAGAATGGAACTAAACACACCGTGAGCGAGAAATATTTTTGTCATGGTAATTACCACATAGAATACTTTTTGGTAATTACCACATATAGACTTTTTTCAGTGGTTACTTTAGAATATGAATGATTATTATTGACTCTATTTAACTTGAGCTTGATTCATCCACTTGGCTTCTTGACACTATCTTATATCTTCATATGCGAGCCAAGACTTTGAATACTTCAAACCAACTCACCACACATTCGAATGGACGTAGACAATTTACATCTTTTGTTTCTTGGTTTGAAGTCTGCAAAGGAAGCTAATCTTGCTTGTTGTCGAAGTATGAATTGATACCAACCACATTTGTATTTTGTCTTTCCACCAAGGACTGCGCTTTTTACAATCTAATAATTAATAATATTAATTGGAAAAGAAGCTTCTCACTTTATTGTGAGACTAGTAATCACAAAAAGCTTCAAAGAATGGTTAATTAGTCTCAAGACATAAGATAGGCTCCCCCTCAATATGTGCATCCAGGTACTTGAATTAATTGTAACATGCACTAGTTCTTAAAAGTACACGACAATGAAAAGTAATTATGCCAAGAGTTACTTACAACTATGAGACCATGTAGATTTCCATAAGCTCATGAGGGCACCTATGACAAGGATTTGTCATCAGGAGAGTCGGATCAAAAGTGTCAAAACAACTAGATATCAAGCTCCTCAACTAAAGTCACCTCTCCCTTGGTTAAGTGAAGATAGTGATATCAAACTCAAGGATATGAATGATCCCAAATTTTTTTTGAAGTGTGCTTGACATATTTGAGTTTATACTTGTTATGGTTATTTGATATACATTTTATTTCCTGAAAGAACAGTGAGAAAGAAGTTGCAATCACCATTAGTGTGTGCATTGAGTCTACCTTATAACGAATAAAAGGTATAATAAATTACCTCGACACCTTTAGAGATGAAGGGTTTGCTTTTCATGTGTGATCACTGCCAAAGATATTCTGCATGTGCTAAGTAAGCTTTTGAATTTTGTTACTTTTTTTGTTATCATTGATATGTCAAGCAGTATATTAAGGAGTAGATTTAAAGAACTCAAATCTCAAAAATATATATTTGGGTTTTTAATGAGCTCAACAATGTTAAGGTCATTGAATGCTACTAAGCTGAAAGACCGTTGATTAAATTTGCAGAAACTCTCTCTAGATGGTTCATTTGATGTTGAGTTAAATGATCTAACTTCCGAGTTGAGTGTTATATATTTTACTTTGCTAGAAAAATAAATATATGCTATACATTTTTTTTAGTTTGTCAAAGAAGATGATTGCTATTCTAGTATTTCTATATTGCTTATCGATTCATATCTTATTTGCTTTGCCTATGGTTGTGGCTTGCTGAAAGAACCTTTTTCAAAATTGAAGTTGTTAAATACCCATTTTAAGTATTTAATGTCTAGATGAGATTTATTTTGGTTCCATCAACAATGACATTTTGAGTCTAGAAATATTAGAAGAAAATTTTAAGGTAATATGTATAAATTGTTTCATTATTATTTTGATGTTTGTATTAACGCCACTTATTTTATTTGCACATCGACAGGATTGCAGCTGGAGATGGCAGAGATGCCCTTGCCATATCGGACACGGAAGTTAACGGTGTTGGACCCAAAATCAAGTCGATTTTACGCTCACTTTTATCAATCAGAAGAAAATAAGAAAACGTTTGACTACTAGTCGACCACTGAATAGATACCCAACCTTAGACAAAGGCTCTGCATAAAATGGTGAATGTGAGCACTTGAGGCCACATGTTTGCCTGTGTCTATAACTCTATTCATGGTGAATGGTAATCTAGAGGGAAACATTACTGTAGAATTTCTCTTCTTTACAGCAAGGATCATGCTCTGTATTTCAAGACCATATACAGGTGAGCTATGTATTTTGTCTGCACCACATTTTCTTCATTAGTGTCGGCAAGTGAAGACAAATTGTAGAGGGTCCAGTCCAGTGTTCTGCTGTATGCGTCAAGGAGGGCCCCAGGTAGGAAACAAGTATATACCATACGTATAGCTTATATACCTAATTGCTACACACAATTATGATACACATTTTAAGCACGGGCCCAGAAAATTTTATTCAGGTTTGGTTTTTCAAAGGAGCATCTGATTACGTTTCCACTGTTGCAGGAGCAGTGTCCACATCTGCAGGAAGCTAGATTCTCTAGATCTAGCAGCCCTCATATCATACTGATCCAGTACACAAGACGTCAAGACGTGCAGTTTAAACACATTTGCCAAAAAAAAAAAAGAGAGAAAAACTTTCTTCAGCAATTACCGTCTGCATAAGAGACGAAGTGTAAATCAGTTGGTGTCTTGCTTGAGCAATGCAGCTTGCAGAGTAAATTGTGATTTGTAGTGCAATTAATTGATCCAACTTTGAAGGCCAAAGTAAGCACCAGTTGCATTGCGTCTGGGGGTTTCATGCCATTCATAGAGCTGAACAGTTAGAAACTGAAGCTGATCATTCACCTTTATAATAGTAGTTCAGATTTCAGCTTATGTGCAGTGCGTCACAGTATCCGAAACCGTCGCTTGTGATGGAGCTCTGAGTCTAATGATTGATGCTCCTGTGCTGCCTGTGACTATGAGGAAGGCGCCAAGGAGCAACCATGCAGCTGCATGCTTCGTCAACAGTTTAGCTTCAAGGAGTTTGTCCTCGTCTTTAAGCTCAGCCGCTTTCGGCGCAATCTATCTCAGCATCAGTCCAAATGATGCAGCAACGAAGATTTAGTTTGTGCAAATCATGTCTCTGAAATTTCGCAGTGCTACTGTTGAGATTATTGGTGAGCAAAATGATCCAAGATTTGCACCACAAAAAGGAGATCAGTGGTGCATTAGCTTAAGTTTGTCAACGAAATGCGTGTCGGTTGCGACGGTGATGGGCAGTCATATGGCTTAAACGTTGAAAGGGGATAAGATTTTTTTTAGGGAGATTGTCCCTGGGCAGATCGATTAAGCTGCAGTGTGTACGTGCAATTCACTTTTGTCGAATTGGTGTGCCGAAATGCTATGCCTGAGTATAGTATTGCAGGAAAGAACCTATTTTTTACTTGGATGATAAGGAAGGAGCGGTAAAACTAACTTGGTTTATTCTTTGCTGCTCGTGGGTAGTAAACCGAAAGTGTGGTGGAATACTTGGCCACCCTAGTAGGAAGAATAAGCAAGAAACATGTCGAATTTGGCAGCAAACCTCACTGTTGCATGCTTTGGATTTCAACACGGACTAAACAGTGTACAACGCACATCTGCATCTGTCGACAGTGACAGTCTTTGCATTTACTTTTGGGGCCAAAATCATGTCCATTTTTAGGCCCGTCTTAGTGGGAAGTTTCGTTCAACTGTTTTAAGACGTGATTGGTAACTGACTATCTCAATGCACACTTTCATTTCACTATTTCATGGACTAGTTGCAACATTTAATTTCTATGAGATGTTGTGATCAATTGTGTCTGTGAACTATGTAGCTATTTTATATATTTTCTAAGAACCGGCACGTTAGAATATTTTTCACCCAACATATTCATCGACATGCAGTCCAAACAAAATAAACAAATACAAAAAAATGTTGTAAAAAAGCAAATACAAAAAGATAAAAAGAATAGAGAGAGATGAAAGCTAACCAACCTTATCTTCAATTCTACGACTCTACGGAATTCTCGATCTCTCTCGTGCGTGACCATGACAGCATGCAGATCAGGTGGCGCAAGTGCATCTGTGCGTGGATGGCGGGCACATCAGGCGGCGTGCTGGAGGAACTCGACGGCGGCGGCGCACGCCGCTTGCGGTTGCGCCTCACGCTTTTTTCTCTCCCCTGCTGGAGCCACACCGCCCTCGAGCTTTCTGTCGCCGTCGGAGCTTAATCCATCTGGAGACCGAAGAAATGGCCGGAGGAAAAGGGAGTAGCAGAGATTTGACGGCTGCTCTGCGGAAGGGGAAAGAAAGATTAGATCGGCGGCGGCGCAGGTAAGGAGGTCGTCCTCGGCACATGAGGAGCGTGCGAGGAGTCGCCGCAGGTAGGCGCACGGGATGGGACGAAACGAATGGAACGGCGGCTCAGTGCAGGTTTCATGCTATTTCCAACGCGTGGGAAACAGCGCTAGGTAGTTTCGTGGCCATGAAACTCCAATCCTCCCTCTCCTCTGCAAAATGTTTTTTTTCTTCTGACATGTCATCTCATTTACATCTTGATCGGCAGCTTGTATCTGTCTTATAAGTCTTGATTTATCAATCAACGAACAATATTTTTCTCTCATATTAAATCAGCCAACAGTACTTTCAGCCACGGCTTATAAGCCAATCCAGCCACGAACGGCTGTTAATTTTCATAAAACTCATAAGATATCCCATTGAGACTAGCCTTAGTACACCTCACTTGTTCATCCTGGCCCCAAACCTCCAAAGTTTGTCCCTACTCTCTGTTTAAAAATTAATTCCCATCAACCTATTCCTACTCTGTAGGACCAACACCTTACCACAGGCCTGATCTCATTCATTCTCACCTATATATATAAAACCTCTTGCAGAACTGAAAATTAGCAACTCATCACACGCGACACACTAGATCACTCACTGGACACATTCAACACCATCACCAAGTCACCTCCCAGATGGCAAGGCCTTGTGATCTTCCGGCCGTGCAGCAAGCAGCTGCTCTTCTCCTAGCATGCACGCTTGCTCTGCTCGCGGTGCAGCTGCCGCCGTGCAGAGCCCAGCAGCAGCAGCCTCCGTCGCCGGGCTACTACCCCAGTGGCATGTTCAGGCCGCTGGGCTTCTCCGAGGCGTACCGCACCCTGTGGGGCTCGCAGCACCAGACGGTCTCGCCGGATGGCAAGTCCCTGACGCTCTGGATGGACAGCAGCTCCGGCAGCGGGTTCAAGTCCACGCGGGCGTACCGGAACGGCTACTTCGGCGCGTCGGTCAGGGTGCAGCCGGGGTATACCGCCGGCGTCAACACCGCCTTCTACGTGAGTGAGACTGATGGATGGGTGGTACTGTTATCTCTTCTATAAGAAATGCAACAGATGCTCTGCTGATCGATGCAATGCATGGCTGCTGCTGCAGCTGTCCAACAGCGAGGAGTACCCGGGGCACCACGACGAGATCGACATGGAGCTGCTGGGGACGGTGCCGGGGGAGCCGTACACGCTGCAGACCAACGTGTACGTGCGCGGCAGCGGCGACGGCACCATCGTCGGCCGGGAGATGAGGTTCCACCTCTGGTTCGACCCCACCGCCGACTTCCACCACTACGCCATCATCTGGAACCCCGACCAGATCCTGTGAGTCTCCGTCTCTCGGCTTCTCCCCTGCGTGCAGGGATTTGTTGCTAGCTGCCTGCCCAGTCACATGCATGACATGAGCTGCGTCTGCGTGCAGGTTCCTGGTGGACGACGTGCCGATCAGGCGGTACGAGAGGAAGACGGAGGCCACGTTCCCTGACCGGGAGATGTGGGCGTACGGCTCCATCTGGGACGCCTCCGACTGGGCCACCGACGGCGGCCGCTACCGCGCTGACTACCGGTACCAGCCGTTCGTGTCGCGGTTCGCCGGCCTCAAGATCGGCGGGTGCGCCGCTGACGCGTCCACGGGCTGCCAACCAGTGCCGGCGTCGCCGTCGGGGACGACGGCGCTCAGCTCGCAGCAGGAGGCCGCCATGCGGTGGGCGCAGCGGAACTCCATGGTGTACTACTGCCTCGACACCTCCAGGGACCACGCGCTCTACCCCGAGTGCTGAAACGCTGCACGGCAGCACTTGCTATACCTAAGGTGACGAACTGAGGGCCGCAGCGTTATGCAATTGTGAGCAACTCGCAATCCAAACGCACATTTGAATATAACTTGCAAGAAGAAAAACGATCCAATTTGATAGAATTATCATTATCAAGTTATGTTATGAAAAATGAAATTATAAATCCGCCGAAAGAATATCGAGGTACGGAAAGAACAAGTGAATGCCTGATGTTACGTTTTATAGTGAAGTACAATGATGATTACAAACTGAAAATATCAGCGTGTGAGCATAGCAGGAAGCATCAAAGGTGTGACAGATTGCTACCCATTTGTTTCCTTGATTTATGACACAATGCGATGACAGATTGCACCAAAGACAGCATATGCAATCCTTCACTCGCCGGTGTATTGTATATTGGAGCCTCTTACAACAGGTAATCTGAAATGTACAACATGGTTTTACACGCTGTCTTTGGTAAAAACTGTACGGAGCAAGAGTGGTCTGTACTTGTACAGCAAAGCTAGTGAAGAACCAACTGTTAGCATGCACAGCTATCCCGAAAACAAAGCTAAAGAACGAAGTCAATGATTGTCTCTGTTAAGCTACCTAATTGTGAAAACCTGTAGCTTTTCGGCGCTTAAGCAACCAAGGTATCTCTCCCCAGTTGAACTTTCAGCAAACCTTAGATCAAGGACTGGTTGCCTGTGGGGCTTGAGATCGGTGTACCTCTGAAACGAAGGCAGCCGCCAAGTCCGGACTCCATACAAGGACTCATCCCCATAGGCAAACAGATGCTGATTGCCTCCGCAGGGTATGATTGCAGACTTCGACATTCGCAACTCGCTTACACTACCACCACAGATATGGTCCCTGGCAAAGGATGTGGTGGTGGTCCTCCTGAGGAGTGTGTGGCATCCTAGCTTTCCTGAACCAGTGAGTGCCGGTGATTGTGTAGCTGCTTGAGGTGTGGCACTATCATCTGGCAGCTCAACTTTCGGGCGATATGAAGCCACCAGAAGATCACTTGATGGAGAGGTGCACGCAAGAGATATGCAGACCCCTTGGTTTTCCACCCCACTTACCAAACTCGGCCTGAAAAAAGAGCCCAAACTCATGGGAACTACAAATAACCAAATCCTAATTTCAAAGACCATGAGAAGCACATCAATAGGAACTGCCAAATTGGGTACAAACTTTTCAGACTACAGCATACCTGTTTTCGCTGACATCCCAAACGCAGGGTCCTATAGAAGAAGCAGAAAAAACCTTTCTGGAACCACTGTCATCTACAGCACAGTGTATTGTATGAACTGGGTGTGTCGATAGACCCATGCTAGAATACAAAGGTGCTGAAGTTTGACGAATATCAAAGACCAATAGCATGCCATTCTGAAAAAATCAAAAAAAGAATATCTATTGAACCCTCCAAAGAGCGCCAAAAGCTTAGAAGAATCACAAGGCATTCCAAAAAGTAAACCTGTAATCCAGCATAAATATGAGTTGAAGTAGGATAATCCCCTGAACAGGACCAACCAGGAGCCTGCAAGACGTCACAATACAGAAGATTAGCAGGTCAGCATAAAGAATTTCACATTTTTACTGGTTCACTTACTCCTACTTAAGCAGCTCTTAACTATTCAGTACCTTAAAATCAATTTAAGAAAAAAATATACATGTCTCTGTCAAAAACAAGTGCTCTGATTACCAAGCACTTGTTGACCTTCTTAAAATTAAAATACATAATGTAGTGAATGTATAGTGATCGTTTTTTCAATATCCAAGAGCTGGAGCTACTACAAGAGAACAAATAGAAATGGAACAGAAAGACAATATATACTTTTGGTAGCATGAAGAGCATAAAAATAGTTGCAAGTTTTGTGAAATTGCAAGGTCGAAGAATTACCGGTAGATCATATTGAAGGACAACATTGTTGGTGGCCATGCTGGGATATAAAACATACGAACAAAGGTCAGATATCGGAGTAAATGTAGCCAAGAAACCAGTGAAGAATAAAACTTGCACACTTTGTTCTTTAAAAAAAAAAAACTTGCACACTTTCTTTACAGACCTGAATAGAGACAACTTCCTGCCCAGTGATGCAAAAACAACATCACCCCCAGGCAGTACACAGATATCCCTAATAGCTTTAGTATCAGGAGGGAGGTAGATCTTCTCCATTCCATGTCTATGAAACATGCTAATCTGTTGAAATTAAGAATTGATTTGCGAAAAGTGAATAATCAACAAAAGTTTACTGTAAAAACTGTTACTGACCTGAAGTCATTAAGCAAAAGCTTCTATTAAGACTTGTACCTTTGTAAGGATGTGTTCAGCACCAACTCCATGTGCCCTTCCCGAAGTGAATATAATCTGACTGGATGCATCTATACCCATGACCCGAGCTCCATCAACCAAAAACTCATTCTACAAAACATGATGCAATTGTGAGTTGGTGAATGACAAAGTTCCTTCATAACCCTACTGCTATAGTGTGATTGTATGATTGAAGTTGGCATGGTAATAGGCACATGCTTCATAAGTAATAGTAAACATTAAACAGACCTGGAGAGCAAAACTTGACAGATTGCTGTGGTCAATGTTCTTTGTAAGTGAGGCAATTGGCTCTGCCCCTGGCATTCCATCTGATGACTGCTCTGCCATTTTCTTCACAGTTGATTGTAAAAATGTTAACATTAAAGCTTCTATTACAATGATTAATCGTTAAAATTTGAGCGATACTAGTGCTTACCTGTCTCTTTGAGCTTGATTCATATATTATATTTTGTTGCAACATAATTATCCTCTGCAGGTGATATTAGGAAACATAAAGGATTGAACACGAAACTCTACTGAGCGTGTAGGGTTTATGCACAGAAAGTATTGCTCAATTTAATTTGTAACAAAATACATCAGGAGGAGTCACCCATGTCTCCTTAGAAAAATTGGTCAATTCAGTTACTGAGACAATATTTCATTTGTGCAGGTACCTTATACTCTTTTATCTCCTCAAGTAATTTTGCTTGCTGCATGGAAACATAAAGAAAGCATAAGCTTTGGGAATAGGATATGCAACTTGTATCAATTGCTCCGGGACAGAATGACCCTAATGCCAGCTTAAAGTGGAAACATAGATTGTACAAAAGAGGGTGCTTACTTGCTTCTCAAGAGATTCATTTTTCTCTCTCAAGGACAATACTTGCTGCATAAATCAAACAAGCATCACTAGATGGCCACAACTCAAATACCTCCAAGGAAAGCAAAGAAGCATAACTAACCTTTTCAAGATCATTACTGGGAACAACAATCTCTGGTACATAGAGGTTGATGATGTTGTTCTGTGTATATCTCTTGCCACACTGAGGACACTGAGTAAGTATAAACAATGAATCTGATCAATCAGAAGGATCCCCAAAACAACACTATTATTCTGAGCTCAATAGCCAGCATACCGGTGCCTTCTTCTTGCCGCACTGCACTAACCACGTCTCTAAGCAATGTCTGCCATAGACATGCCCACAAGGGATGCAACTAGACGTGGAATATCACACCGTTAGCAATTTAAGATCCTCCACTCGGAATGATATGAATATAAGCAGGTATAGGCCAACAAATCAGCAAAATCCTAACGAATGAATGAATGAATGATAAGTTGTCTTTGCATCACTAGCAATTTTCTAGATGCCCTAATGATAAGAAAATAATAATAAAATCCGTGGCCCTTCACATGCTTCACGCCCTTATCCCCTATAAATCACTAGGCTAGCGGACTAATGGAACCAGGACCATTCGCTTGCATACCAGTCAGACGGCCATTCGCCTGCATACTATTCAGACGATAACCCCTTTTCTAGCATAGCAATACAAGTACAAATCAGGCTAAAAAATATACAAGTACAAATCATAAAATTAAAGATATTTCTCTTTTCACACAATTTCTAGCGTTTTATGAAAGTGACATGCTCAAGTAATCTCTAGCGAATTAGTGCAGTTACATTCAGATCCAGAGACTTCTAAACACATAGTAATTGTGCACTCCTAGAGATTAGCTCATACTACACCCAATTACAGTGCTCATGAATCAAAAGGGTCACCATTAAAACATAAATAGCAACTAGTTAGAAACAATAGTAAGCTGCTGATTCCGAAATTCATAGTTTCAGCCAACCCACACAGGTACTAGATCAGCGAACTATAAGAAGTTGTGAACCACGCGAGACAACGAGCTGGTCCGCAAATCCACAAAATCACTGAAATATACAATTCCTCCTCACCTCACGCGATGCGCACCATCGGCGGTCCACGCGACCATACAAATGGGGCAGCTGGGAAGGCACGGGTCCTCCGCCTCGCCTTCGCTCTCCGCCGCCTTATCCTCGGTGGCCGAACCGCCCTGGTCCCTCGCACCTTCACGGGACGCCTCGCTCCCCTCCTCCTCCTCTTCCTCCTCCTCCTCGCTCCCTTCCTCACCCGAACCGGGCGAGCTCACTTGTACAACCGGGGCAGCGGTCGGCCGCGGCTGCCTGCCCCGGGAACCCGACCCCGACGGCATTGGGTTGGGTGGCCGAGCTTCGCCGCGACCGGATTGGACAGCGGCAGAGTGAATGAATGAAATGGGGATTTTTTTTAAAGGCTTTTACCGCCATTATAAAAATCAGTAATTTTCTATAAATCATTAAAAAAATTAAGTTGTCATAGTTGTGCCATTGCTGTAAACTTTTTTTTTTATCCTCCACGCCACTTTCGTCAGATTTGACTATAACGGCAAACCGTGATGGTGAAAAGTCCAAAATACCCTCAGGTCTGAATTTGCAATTAATTTTTTTGACATCTTAATGACCTCAAATTAAAAAAAAAACTCAAAACTAGAAAGTTAGAGATCTCGACAATATCTATATTTTTTGTATAAAAATTATCTTTATTTAATTATGTAAAAAAATATGATTTGATATTATTAATGTTTTAGAAAAATTACATTTTTTTACGGTCAAATGAAGATAATTTTTATAAAAGATCGACAATTTTCTAGTTTTGAGTTTTTTCATTTGAGATCATTAAGACGCTAAAAAAATTAATTGCATATTTAGACCTAAGTGTATTTTTGACTTTTTACACCAGGTTTGACACCGTTAAAGCTAAATTTGATAGAAGTGGTGTGAAGGATAAAAGAGTTCAGAGCGACATCCATGAAAACTCAACTTTTTTAATAGTTACTCACTTTTAACTTTTACAGTGGCACACACCTAAAAGCCTCAAAATTTTCTGAAGCGCCGGTCGGTGAGCGGGCAACGAAAAGGTTGGCGCGCACGAGTCAGAAAATTTATGGGCTTTCTTCATGGGCTGCAGAAACCAGTCCACCATCAAAATAACGAACCGACTCCCGCAGGCAGCAGAACCAGCGCTCGCGCTCGCGCTCGCGCGGCAGGGTGACTTGGGTGAAGTGCGTTTGGATTAGTCCCACCTCGCCGCCTGAAGCTGGGTAGGACGCGGGAGGAGGCTACATAGGCAGCGCCCCTGCCCTCGTTGCAACATACTTACCTGGACGGGGTCAACGGGCGATCATGAAGGCTCGTGGCCTAGGTCAATGGCCCACATTGCACTTTGTTGGGTGCGTTGGCTTACCATCTCCCCAAGTGGGAGAGTGGACGTCATAATTTGTGGTTGAGGGGGTACGCGTTCGCGCGGCCCCTGCCAATTCGTAAAATTATATTGGGTCAGATCCAGTCTGTAGCATTGGCTTGCTGCTCTTTGGTCCAGGTGCAGTATGCAGCCTCCGATGCACTGGAACATGTCTTTTTTACTCTAAAAATAAAAAACTAAAATCGTAGAATTCATTTTTCATAAAGAAAAAAAGGAGGACCACGCGTCCGCGCGGCCCCTGCCAATTCGTAAAATTAAATTGTGGTCCAGTTCGCTTGGTGCCCTTTGGGCCAGATCCAGTCTGTAGCATTGGCTTGCTGCTCTTTGGGCCAGGTCCAGTATGCAGCCTCCGATACACTGGAACATATGTTTTTTACTCTAAAAAAAATAAAAGATTAAAATCGTAGAATTCATTTTTCATAAAGAAAAAAAAGGAGGACCACGACTTCTGATTCTTTGCCTGGCCGACGGCGAGCAGTGGGAGGGTTGGGAACGGGATGGCGCGGAGCGTGGCGTACGTTTCGGCGGCGAAGCTGGTGTCCATGGCGCGAGGCAATCCTCGCCTCGCCATCATCGACGTCAGGTACGCGCGCGCGGGCGGGCCGCCTCGGCTCTCCTGTCCTACACCTCGCCGATTTGGAGACTGGAGACTTATTTTTTGTTTCCCACCGGAAGGGATGAGGAGAGGAGCTACCAGGCGCACATCGCGAGTTCGCACCACTTCGCCAGCGGCAGCTTCGAGGCGCGGATGCCGGAGCTAGCGCGGGCCGCCAGCGGCAAGGACACCCTCGTTTTCCACTGCGCGCTGAGCCAGGTCCCAGATCCTCCGCCCTCGCTTATCTCAATTACTCTGCCCCGTTCGCTGTACTTAGGAATCCGATTTCCTAGATAAAAGCTGCGTAAGATGCTCACTGCACCGGTTGGATTGATTCACTTTTGCACAGTTCTCAGGCTCTTAGCCACTTAATTAAATATTGTCGTATGATGATGATGATTTATGAACCACAGTGATACCGTGGATCTTCTGGGAAAACCAACAATTTGCACAAGTACGAAACCTTATGTTGACATGTTCACCAGACTAAATAAGAACTTTTGTGGGGGCAATTTGTTCTCATGCCTTGTTCTTCATATATCTTCCTTTGATTGAACTGATTTACCCTTGTAATTTTGTTAGTGTGAACATACTAGCCTGCATAGTAGACCTTCAGATGTACATTTTTTTCCACTGTTAACAAGTTTTCATGTTTGAGTCAGGTTCAGCTTGGGATAAAAAGGTTTTGGTCTCAGCCACTTATGATAATATGAACCACAATAGTGTTGTGGATCTTCTGGGAAAACTGATAATTTGCATATCCATACCCCAAGTGACCTTATGTTGAGATATTAACCAGATTAATACTTAAGCCAACAAGAGCTTTCGTTATGGCAATTTGTTCTCATGCTTGTTCTCCATATATTTCATGCTCTAACTAAATTAACTTCTTTACCCTTGTAATTTTGTTAGTGTGATCCTACTGGCATGCACAGTAGACCTTCAGATGTACTGCTTTGTTTCCTGTTAACAGGTTTTCATGTTTGCGTCAGATTCAGTTTGGGATAAAAAGGTTTAGGTTATTCCCAGCTAGGAATTAGGGTATATTTTACCAAGGGTTTTCCGTTATTAAATTGGATTAGGATTCAGAATCTTTGATATGAGAGGCAAACAAAAGTATATATCTTTTTTAAAATTTTGATACCTGGAGGTATTCCTTTTCTTTTTCCACTAGGATTGGCTGTACCAAATGCCCTAGTAAATCTTTTCCCTTGGGGAAAAGCACATAAGGAGGGTAATTTGGGGGGTGGGGGGAGCCACACAGGAAATTACAGTTAACAGTTAATATTCATATAGCTACTAACATGTGACATTCCAGGGTTGTGTTCTGTGGTTCAGTAGCAGTATAGGTGGTGAGTCTTTGGGTGCAGCTAGCCACCGTTAGATCTTCAGCGGCTTGTAAAAGCCTGCCAATTTGCCGCAAGAAGTGCAAGGACTCAGTTTGTGACCAGAACTGTGTAAAACTCTGCCTTTTTTTGCAATGCAAATGGACTGAGGTTGCATGCCCTGGAATTAAAAAAAAAACTTTGCTTGTTAAGAAATGCAAAAGGCAGATGAGTTTGTATTTGTCTGTTAGGATAGACAAGGTGTAATGCTACTTTGATTTTCATATTAAATAGTAGGCCTCTGATGCTTCACTTGCCCTGCAGTTGCTGATTATATCCATGGCTTTGCTAAACATTTATCAATGTCCTAACATTACCTGACGAAATAGATGACCAATTGAACAGTCTGCTCAACTCAATCTCATATTTTAGCTTTATACTTCCACCTTTAATCTCGTCTTCTGGAACAGAGACCTTGTACAAATTTATTCTGTAAGTAGTGAATAGTGATGGACATATCTCATTTGCGTTGTTATTATCCCAGATTGTGTTAGCTATGCAGCAGTACCGCTATTATGTGATGTCATGAACAGCAATGCACCAAATCCCATTTTCTCTCTTTTTTTCGTTGTTCCCATGTTATACCCAAATCCCTCTGGTTTTTTCCTTTCATTTTATCTGTATATAGGAATATATGCAAAAGGAAAAGAAAAAAAAGAGGATGCATTTCCCCCTTGCTAACTCTTGTTTCATCGCTCTCCAGGTGCGAGGTCCAACTTGTGCTCGGATGTTCTCTGACTATCTATCGGAGACCAAGGAGGATTCAGGGATAAAGAATATCATGGTACTGGAGCTCGGGTTTAACGGATGGGAGGGTTCAGGGCAGCCTGTCTGCCGCTGCACCGACGCTCCTTGCAAAGGGACGTGTTGTTAAGCACGAGCTATCTCTCGGGCCTTCAACTATCAACGATCGGCATGGTCTCCATTCCTGTTGTCGCTTACATCACCTCATTAAACTCGTTAAAATGCTAACACACAACAGATTATTGGGTTGGCATTGGCAACTCCATTTTTGTGGGAACTACATGCATAAATAGTACCACCGAACCACACTGTCAGACATACACACTCCACCTCCACGGTGTACTGCCAGGTGGCAGTATTCATTTCAGATTGACTGACAACTTGTTCGTTTGATCGTATCAGTCATTCTTATCAGTCATGATAAAGTGTTTTTCTCTCACAACAAAACAGCATCAGCCGGCTTATAAACCGCAGATACGAAGCGAACAGGGTGTGGATTGTGGTTACTGTTTTCCAATTCTGCATGTGCCTTGTAGCTCTATGCGGGTAGTGTTTGGAGTTTGGTTCGGGAATTTGAGGTGTTATATGTTCATAGCGTAATCTGACTCCATTAAATTTTGTTCGGTTCACTTAAGCTTAATCAGGTCCCGATCCCAGGCCACGGCAAATCTACAGTCTGTTCGTTTCGGCTGGATTGCTAGTATCTTGCTTATAATCTATGGTTTAAATAGTATTTTTCTTTCACACCAAATCAGTTAGCAGTACTTTCAACCATAGCTTATAAGCCAATTCAGCCTAAAACGAACAGGCTCCTAGTGTTAATCGTTACCACAGCTCGGCTGAGAGGATGCGTACCTGATGTGATCTAGCGTGGCCACGGCCGCAAAGAAACGATCCAGCATGGCCGCGGCGGTGAGGGAAGGAGGGCGAGGAGGAGGGCTACGTGCCTTGCCATTACGGAGCTCATCTCCCCTTGAATTAAACAAAATGGGAAATATTGATTTGTGACCATCACCCCTTATTTCATACTGCTTATAGTACTGCTAGCGCCCGAACATCACGACGGACGTCCTTGCTGCACCCGTTTCCCCCGCGTGTGCGCCTGCACTCCACGCTTGTGCTCGCGCCAGCACGCCCGTCCGCACCTGCGTTTTGCATGCCCACGCGGGACCCGCGTCTGTAGGCCACACGTGCCCCCTCCGCTTCTCACATGCATTACAAAATGTGCAACACCCAATCTACTTTTGCAACATCCATATGAAACACTTACAACATATATCCAAAATAGATGAAAAACTTGCAACATACGTCTGAAAACACTTACAAAACACCTGAAAGCCATTGCAAGCTTATGCAACATTCAGATAAAAACACTTGCAACATGTGTAAAACATATGCAATACCCAGACAAACACACCTGCGACTTACGCCTAAAAAACACAAATAAAATATTTGGAATAGACATTTGCAACATACGTATATAGCCATTGCAACATATGCAATATCCCGAACTACTTTTGCAACATCCATATGAAACACTTGCATCATACCTCTGAAATATCTAAAACACTTGAAACATACGTTTGGAACGTGTCAAGCGCGGCACTCTAGTGAGCGGTGACCACCATGTCAGACGCGTTGAGGAACTCGATAACCACCTCGATGGGCAGATCGGGGCTGGGAGGTGGCGGAGCGAATAGTACCACGGACTTGGCCGCCGCGAGCTTCTTCTGCTGGGGCACCGGGTAGCGAGGAGCCTCTAGGCGGGCTCAAAGTATGGCATGGCCATGATGCCCTCGCCGTCTCCAGCCGCGGGAAGAGGTGACAAGGAGGACACCGGTGCGGGCGCCGATGATGAGGGCAGGGGCGAGCGGCAGGCGCGACTCCAGCGACGGAGCCTGTCGTCGCGAAGGCGAACGAGGGCCCCAGGCGAAGGAAGCAGAGGTAGTTGCCGCTGACGGCAGCGAATGAGGAGCGGAGCTTGGGGCGAGCGCGAGGCGGAGTGGGATATTTTTTGTGGAGACGACGTCCGTCCATCCGGACACCCATATGCCCATACCGTAGCATTACCATTTACGTTTCAGTATCATTTCTGAACCAATCACCTGAGCATCTTTCCCCAGCCACAGAATTTACTGTCATCCTCTTCGTCGCTTGAGAAATTCAATTACACCAAAGAAATATTACCTCTCGTCGCTTGAGAAATTCAACTACACCAAAGAAATGTTATAATAATGAAGGTCCCAAGGACAGGAACTCGATTACAGAGTCTCTCCCAGATTGCTCAGAATTGCCGAAGTCGCTTAAAGTCGTTCGCCGGAATGGCGAAAACTTTAAAGTTGCTTAAAGTTGTTCAAAAATGTCGAAAATGAGCATTTTTCTGGACTTTGCAGCGTCAAATTTGCTCGCTCGAGCCGCTGACCACAGTTGCGACTTGCGAGACCGAGACCCAAGTCCCCAGCCCGGCGCGGCCCACGCCGGCGTGCGCCGTGCCGTGCGCAGCCGACCGCCGCGCCCACGCCTTTCCCCTTCCGGTCCAGCCCTTCCGCAGTCCGTAGCCTCCAGATCCCACCAGACCCCGACCGGCCCCGACCCCATGGCCTTCTCGCGGCTCCTCCCCTCCCGCAGCCGCCTCCTCTCCACCCTCCTCCACACACCGGGACCCATCCCCACCCCGCGCGTGACCGCGGCGGCCGCCGCCACCCCGCTCGGCCCCTTCCTCCGCAGCTTCGCCTCGGCCACGCGGCGGTCGGGGCCCTCCTCCCGCCCGCGCGCCGCGGACATCGGCGCCCGCGCGCGGCAGCTGCAGACGCGCCGCCTCTGGTCCTACGGGCTCGCCTTCGCCTGCACGGCTGGGTTCGTGGTCACCGTGCTCGCCACGTTCCAGGACCAGCTCGTCTTCTACGTCACGCCCACCGACGCGCTCGCCAAGTTCACCGCCGACCCCTCCAAGTCCCGCGTCCGCCTCGGCGGCCTCGTCCTCGAGGGCTCCGTCGCGCACCCCTCGCCGTCCTCCCCGAGATCGAGTTCGTCGTCACGGACCTCATCACCGACGTGCTCGTCCGCTACGAGGGCGCGCTGCCCGACCTCTTCCGCGAGGGCCACTCCGTCGTCGTCGAGGGCCTCCTCAAGCCCTTCACCGACGACCTCCGCCGCCGCGACGACGGGAGGAAGGTCACCGAGAAGGCGCGGGAGTGCGCGTGCTTCTTGCGCGGCACCGAGGTGCTCGCCAAGCACGACGAGAAGTACATGCCCAAGGAGGTCGGCGAGGCGCTCGAGCGAAACAAGAAGCGCCTCGAGGCCGAGGCAGAGGCGGCCGCCGCTCAAGGGTCCACTGTGGCTGCGGCGGCGGAGGAAGCAAAGGCAAGCTCGTAAGATTTTGTCCGCCTTCTGGTTCGAGATTTTCTGGATCTTGAGTATGAGGCATCCGGCATAGGTAGATTTGGATTTGATTTCACTCTGGCGCTGGGGAATATCTGCAGCGTGATTGAATTTGATTCTAAGCTGATGTGATTGTTGAGCTGGGAATCAGGCAATTTTTGTTAGGGGAATAATGACAAATGTTGATTGAACACAGTATACATACTCGTTCTGAAGTAATACTATTGGTATACTCCTTCCACTGAGTGGTACTATAAGTTTACTAGATCATAAGGGTGAGCTATAGGTGGATTTGAATTTGATTTCACACCAGAACTGGGGGTATCTGTGGCATGATTCGGTTTTAAGCTATTGTGATTGTAGTACTTTTGGCCAGGGGATAAAGCAATTTTTTGTTACGGGCTGATTGAGCATGGCTTCATGTATTGTTTCTCAAGCATTATTATCAGTAATACTATTTCAACTGAGTAATATGGTTTTTGTGTTATCCTTGAGATTTTGTAGTGGGAAGTGAGAACCAAGTAGTCAATTATGCTGGTATTCATGCATTCATGGACATGTGGTTTAGTTTTGATTTATTCCATATGTTCATATTGCCTGTGGTTGGCTCCTTTTGTCCAGCAGTATCATTCGATCTCTTTTTTACTTAACTAGGTTTAGTTGCTGTCTTGATCTGATACTATTCTCAAGTTGTAAAGCCAACTCTGTGCAAATACATCTTGAGGCCATTTTAGTGCTTGAACAAAAAAGGTTAATCTTAGCCAATTCCCCCATCCAAGCAGGTCCTGATATGCCTAGATGGCTAATTTGCATACTGAAGCCTTTATTTTGAGTTGCGAATATGTGATAGACGGAAGTGATACTATCCCTAGGTCTTAGTGTATGGTACCTGAGGCATCTAACTGGAGTTCGTAAAAACTTGTCAAAAGTACTAGTTGAAAGCTATATGCTGCCTACCTGTATATATGTTACGCATACTACTCTATATCTTGCTGATTAAGCATACTAGTTCAGTCTGCACTGCAATGTACAATCGCTCTTTACCCTCATCAAACCAAACTGGACAAAAATCCAGATTTTTTTATATTATTTAATCCATTTACTTCCAATTCTGAAACAGGTCTTTAGTTGAGTGAATATCTCGAAACACTAGGTATTGGAAGTTGGAACTATATTTCCACATTGCATAAGTTTAAATATTCTTTCACACAGCAGGTTTCAAATCACTTTACACCACCTTTTATCTCACCTAGCAAGAATGCCCTTAAACTGCTACACATGCCAACTCATATCATACAAATTGTATGGATTTCAAATAGAAACACCATGAACCGTTGAAATGAGGGTATTGCATTCCCTTAGTACTTAAATGTGAGTATTTCTAAAATGTTCTGTTACAACAGTATAATTAATGTTTGCCCTTTGACTGTAATTTGAGAATGCATCAGTTAACCAAATTCTTCCTTTCATTTTGGTTAAGTGTTATTTCAATCTGGTTAGCAAAAGGAAGTTAGGCTGAACATCGTAACATCAAGATTTACAAGTAAAGTTAAGTGTAATTTGAGAATGCACCCAGAAACGTCTCTGTGTTTGCTTTGGATGACCAATATTGCTGCGAAAGAGGGCATCTATTTCCTTTCCTTCACTGCCTATTTGGTTTGCAGAAGGAAGTTAGGCTGAACATTGTAACATCAAGAATTACATGTAACCATAGCTACTAATTTAAATTCTACAGTACTGACATTTTAG